TTGAATTTTGACTTCTGAAAAGCTGAAATGAAATTTTGAAATGGGCTGAAGTCAAAATAAAAATGGGCTCAGGAATGCGGATTGGGGTCGCTAATTTTTCAGAATTCTACTATTTGTGCTTTGCTTCGATAAAGAGTCTAGTATTGAGGAAACCTTTTGAAAGAACGGAAAGTACGGGAGAATAGAAGAACTTATGTTGCATAAGCAAGAAGGATTGGCAAAACTCTGGATTTAGTTGCTTCCAAGAAAAGAAATCAATTTGATAATAATGAGAGCTGAATGAGAGATGAGAGATGAAAGCTGACGATTATATTTACCTTAAAATAGGAGGCCCAGCTAGCTAATCCAGGCTGTGTTCAGCAGTCTCAAAGAGCTTACCATTGTTAAACTATAGTCAATAACCAGTTCTATTTATTCGTTTAGGAGTGGAACAAATGGATAAATGTCAAAATCTTGTTAAATACAGCCAACGATTAGTTTTGATTGTATTGCAAAAATAATCGTGTTTCAAGTTACTTAACCCGACAGAGAATTGCGGACCTTCAATTGGTGGGGTGTAACTTGCTTACAGAAAAAACAAAAGCTTTTAGTTCTAGAATATCAAATGTCGAACTTGACGACCTACAACAAGAGTCAATTTACCAAATCATAAACGAAAGGTTAAAGGATTTCAGAGAATGGTTTGGTGAAAAAGGAGGGCAGGAGATGAGAGTGGCGGCGCGCATAGGGGAGCTTGGAGAGCTGCCGGCTGCATCCCAAATGGGGGCATGCCATCCCGAAAAGGAGAAAAGGGTAAAGAGGCAAAAAAAGGGAGAAAAAAGAGAGAAATCAGCTCAACTGTCAGGAGAGATATTGAGGGATGTGAGAGAATGGAGAGAATGGAGAGAATGGAGAGGTTGTCGTGAAGACAGGGAGGCAAAAGGATATGGTAAGTGGGAGATCCCTGGGGGTGGCTAGGAGACTGACTGGGGTACAGGGTACCTCCTACAAGAGGGAATCGGCAGGTGGTGGACCCCTGGTGGTGGATCCTTTAGCCTCTTTTTAGTCTTCTTTGTACACACACGCAGTCGATCCCATACCCATATATGGGTTATGGCCCGAGTCCTTCTCTTCCCACCAATTGAAATGATCGACCCACAAAAATTGGGCTGGATTTTATGGGTTTTAGAAAGAGCAAGGGATTTCTTTGAAGTAGCAAAGGGTTAGACAATTTATAACAGTTGGTTAAAGATTAAGTTTCAATAAAGTAGCGAGGCTACAGATTGTCTTTCCCCAGAGGAAGTTTAAAGTATTGTTTACAGTTTATAGCTAGTTTACAAGACTAAAACGAGCTGCATAAAGTATTGGTTCCGTTGTTAAATAATCATGTTTCAAGTTACTCCAATTGAGCTGTTCACCGACGGGTGAATAGCTGAATAGCTCAATTCCTGAAGCTGAAAGCCAGTAGTTTTCAAATTCTCGCTCCCCAAATAAGTCACTCGCTGATTTCAATTAAATTCTGCACATAAAATCGTCTCTTAAAATTTTGCACCCAGAAAATCTGAAAATTTGCTTCACAATCACAATCCCAAAATGTTTTTGCAAGAGAAGCCCTTAGAATCAATAAGTTTTAAAAGCAAAAAAGGTCAGATGACCTAAATGATTCACCTAAAGAAGAAAGGGAAAAATCACAACGTCACCGGGTAATAAAAATCTTTTCTGTGCTGAGAGCGGAATTCTTGGCTTATCAGCTGAGACCTCAAAAAACATCGGGGCTTTTTGTTTGGAGTGACTCCAAAAAATATTCAGGGCGTTAACGAAAATTTATTTGTGCCAAAGAATTGGAAACTTGCAATTAGAAGTGAAAAACATTGTCGTAAAGTAATTTTTAAATGTAGTTTCAATTTTGACAAGTTCTTATTGAAGAAAATGCCCATTAATAGGCGCTTAAATTGAAGACAAATTGGCTCAATAGCTAACCATAAAAAAACAATAGCATTGATCCCATTTGAGAACCGCAGCTTCAAAATGTTCAGTGTCAAGTAGTCTGTTGGAATTTTAATCATGGATCAGCTTAATCAATTGATTCATAGTACCCGATTTTGGTTTTAGTCTTCGTTTGACCCAAAAACATAACTCCCACATATATCCCGCAACATTTGAAATCCTATTTGAAAAGCTCGGTTTCAAAAAGTGCAGCCTTGAACCGACTGAAGATTCATTAATGGGCGATCTGGTTTTTCTACCGTAATACCTCTAATAGTGCCCCCACCCCCTACAGTCGCGTAGTCTGACTTCTTTTTAGAAAATCATTTTTTCTCAGCACCTAGATTTTTCCCAACTACACTTTTAGTACGAAAAATACTAGATTTCAAAATCCAAATTTCAAAAAATACTAGATTTCTATCATTTGACACCCAAGCGCACACTGTAGCATAAAGCAGTGCGGAGAACGGTAAAGTTAGACTATGCGGCAATCCCTGTCATTATGGGGGGGGGCGCTACTAGTAGAGGTATTACGGTAGTTAATCATTGTTCTATAATAGCTTTTTTGTCGATAGCCAAAAGTAAAACTCCTTACAAATTCTATGTTTAACAAGCAATTTGATTAAAACAATTCCCTCTGATGAGCCAAAGAAGTTTTCCTTTAACGAAATTTTTTCTCAAATAACAAAAAATGTTTTGTCTTTTGTAGAGTTGTCTTTTCGAGACTTCATCGATGATGATTAGTCATGATGAAAAGAAAAGGAAACAAATTATTTGCTAATACTTGCAATTTTGAAACATTTTTGGTTAGTTGAAAGGAGGGGTTGGGAATGGGATTATTCTTGATGTTTTAAATGAAAAGATTAACTCGCTTAAAGTTTAAAAATTATTCCAAAACTTCCTTACTCTTTTTGGCATTCAAGGCAAATACAGTACACAGTAGCCAACCTAGAATATTATTTGAAGTACTGAACTCACTAATACCTTTGAAATATCTTTCGAAAAGTCAATGTTTCAACATTTTCATGGTGAATGCTTTGATTTTGAAAGTAGTAAAAGATTTCGGCAATGACTACCAGCAATTTTCTTCGCTTGACAATTTGGGAGTACATGTGAAGAGTTGAAAGGAGCTGACAATTCGATTACTATAACTGCTTGCAAATCTTATCCTAGTTAATCCCACTAAACACAGAAAGCAACCGCAAAATAGTTTTAAAGTATAAAAGTAAAGCTTGTTGCTACTTTTGTGTTTTTTCAACAGAGTTTAAATGGAGAACTTTCATTTTTTTGATGTCTATGACATTTCTCCAGGATTTTTCCACATAAAATCAATAATTAATCACCAGCACAAGGAAATCCAAAATCGAAAGAAAAATGAAAACACTTTAAAGCCAAAATCCTGGAATTCGTGGAATTAGATGGGAGGAGCGAGAATGCGAAACGGCGAAAATTTTGCCGGCGGCATTCAGAGAGAAAGTAGGCGGAGTCTCGTTTCAATCACAAAAGAGACATTGCTGATTCATTCGGGACGGGAAAGAAAAGACGCAAAATCGAGGAAAGGAAAGAAACGATCGAAATCCGCTTTTGTTATCTCTCGTCAAAATCTCATTTTTTCGTTTCTTTACTGAAAAAACAATGCCTTCTGGTTGCACGTTGGTTTCCCGGTGATTCGTTGGGTTTTCGATTGCCTTGTCAGTCTTAACGGTCAATTTCTTTAGATATCCTCAAATATCTGACTATCAGTGTGTATTCTCAAAAAAACCTTGTTATCCTGTAAAATAGTAATCGTTAGAGTGTGCTCTTCTCAAGTAATCCGCTCTCTAAAACGCGTCCCCTTTCTCTTTCTATCGTAATTCTGCCTCTATTTTTATCCAATCAACTTACTTTTTTTATCTTTCGATATCCTTTGCGAACCCTCACAAATCAGATCAAAAGCAAATAGAATGGATAAAAAGTAGAGACATATTACAATAGCTATGATAGATCTACCAGATTACGGTAGTTGACTGACTGTGAGTGATCTGCTAGGTAGCGTAATAACTGAAAAAATCATCTATTCTCTGGATAACAATTTTTTGGTGACTTATTGCCCAGGGGATTAGAAAAATGTAAAACTCAAATTTAGTCGAACCTAGTAGATAGCTCAACAGCGGCTAGACCCCGCCTCCATCAACACTAATTCCCCTACCTAACTACAATAAAAGGCACAAACTAATCGCCCGGGCGTCATCAAAAGTGCGTGTGTATGAAAATGGATAGGGTGGCTGTCAAGTGTTGGGTGATTCATGGATTGGGTGAAAGGGGGACAGCCTCTTCGATGTGTAGATCTCCGCTCTTCATCTCTCTGCCTCGATTCTCGTCAATCTCGCATTGTCGCAGGTGATCACACATCCCATTTCACTACCCACTCTCTCTCACTCACTATTGCCCGGGATAGCACACTAAAAATAGCCAAAACTAGTGTGTGCCATCCCATCAAAAAGACAACCACAATAACATCAGTCAACAGCTGATTTTGTTGATTGGTGGGTGATTTGAAAGGCTGACAATGAGCTCCTTGTTTTTTCGAACAAATGTACTTGCGGTGGCTTTCTCATTGTTGGGGCATCCGTCTTGTTTCCCGTTAACTTTTGACTCATTGTGGCGAATTTTTTGTTTGTCGCTTTTTCGTGTAAAAGGTTTTCTTTCAGTTCAACTTGACTAAATACTTTTTTCCGCAATAAAAAAACTCGAGTTCGCAACCCGTCCCAAGTTATGCATGGGAAATTCCAGCACTTGTCACGGCCAAAAACTTCCAAACTCCGAATCGCTCAAAAGGGTGAAATGTCTCTGGAACTGGGAAAGTTTATACGAAATAACAAAAATACATGTATAACTCGGAAACTTATCAAATGCACCATTTGGGGTCTAAGTGAACAATCAAAAAAATTGAGATCAAACACGGGAATTTCTGCAAAAAATCGAAAAACAACGGTAACAAAATAGCGACAGCAGTTTGAGCAAAACTTCGACAATCGACAAAAAAAGATTGATTAAATTTCACTTGATTCACTGTTGTCGTCGTTCTCTTGACTGCTCGTTGCTTTCCGTCGACTTCTCTTCGCGATTTTGTTGATAATGATAGATCGGCGGCCTTTCGTGGCAAAGTTAAGCATACCAGGTACCTAAAAATTTCATAATCATGATTGCTTAAGTATTAATCTAAACGGGATTAAAATATTCGCTCAAGCCTTCTTAGATTAATCAAAAATACCTTTGTTCGTAGCTGTTGAGGATCCTGTTTGATTGCAGTTGCCACTCGTGACTTTTTGATGATGCCGTTCTGGCCATTTTGTTTCGAAGTCGGCGCCGAGCTGGTATGAGCCACTAAACAGAAGAAATATTATTCCGTATCATATTTTCTGACTTTGTTAGTGCTAGTATTTAGTAGCACTTCCAATATTCCAAACCGAAAGTCAAATTACCAACCTCCATTTGCTCTTTTAAGTGGTGTCACAACTGGCGATGGAGAAGAATCGCTTTCACTTGCATTCACTTCTTTTACAAACACCTAAAACATCATCTTCCGATTTTACTCAAAAACAATACCTTTTTCCTCTCGACTCTCGTTGCTTTAGCAGGCGCTGTTACTTTCGCTTTCTTCACATCCTTTCGATTTTCCTCATCTTCAGTCGATGACCGTTTTGTAGAAGCGCGGACCACCGATGGGGTCGCTTTCTTTGCCGGTGAAGCTGTAGATCCAGTGTTACATGCCTAAAGTTTTCATTACTACCTCCACCATTAAATATTCTAAGCAAACCTGATGAATTTGCTTAAAGTTGACTCCACTTGTATAAGGTGTGTCGAGAGCCACGCGAAACAGCTTTTCCACCCAAGAAAAGCAAGACTGATGTTTCTAAAACAAAGGTTGAAATTAGATAAACAAAAACAGATATACCTCAAGCACCTTCTTCAAATTTTCTTTCACATCCTTCACGAAGTCTTGTTTAGCGGCAAAGACTTTTTCAGCGTTTGATTCGAGATTCTAAAAGATTGCAGTGATTTATTTTTTTTAATTGCAAGCAAACCTGCCATGGAAGAGTTCCTGTCAACCAGTAAATAACGTTGTAGCCAAGAATTTCAATATCTCCTCGATATGACGGATTCAGGCCACGATGTGCGTCGATCGAGGTAAAAATTGCCGTCCCGTTGTGTGCTAAAAGAACATTGACGTTTTTAGGTAGATCAACTGTACGCTTGACAGTTCAATGAACATATCACGGTATCTTTTACTAACTCATCAACTTACCTCGTTTCTTGTCCGGCTTTTCCACATTTGCTGAAGCCATTCGTGCCAGTCCGTAGTCGACAAGCACCGATGTGGAGAGATTGGCTGGGTCTTCAAGCAGAATGTTTCCCGCCTTGATATCAGCATGCACGTAGGACTAAACAAAAGTTTTAAATTGCAGTAGTTTTCAAATATACCTTCGTGTGCAAATATTCTAACGCATCTAGAACACATTTCACAATCTTCAAGCAAGCTTTGGGATCAAAAACCTAAATTCTAGTTTATCCCTGATAAATTGGGCATAGAAACTTTTTTCTTCTCGCGTATTTCTTCAAGTGAAGTGGCGTACTTTGGAATGATGAGGTAACGCAGTTTGTCTTGTTTGTAGTCGAAAATCCCGGTGCTGATCATCGGTGGCACGCCGAGCCATGTAATCTCTAAACATAAAAGTATTGCTTGTACCATTCAGGCTCAGCCGATTCAGAATCAAAGAATTAAAATCATGTTTAAGAACCCACTTCTTCCAGTCTTGTAGGCGTTTATGTCGGCGGCTCGGAGAATTCGTTGAAAGACGTTCACTTCGGTAAAGAGCGGCCCATTTCCTTGTGGTTCCACTTTGCAACAGTAGTTCTCTTTGCGAGAGCCTTCCTGGAAATTAATAAAGATTGTTTGAGCTGAATTGCCAATACAGATCTTCTACAAAGCACCAAAATTGGGCTAAAATTTCAGCTTACACCTTATCATACTCTTTTATCACAGGATTCGACAAACTCTCCATCTTGGCTTGATTCACGTGAATATCTAGTGGCATAAAATCTCTAAAGATTCAAAAAGCGCTCATTCACTAAAAAATCTAGCTAAAGCTTTTAAGCAACGTCATAAAACACCGATTTACCTCAGAGCAACTGTAGATTCGTCCAAAGCCTCCGGTGGCGATCTGTGTGCCGATGTGGTAAATTTTCTTCGTGCTCACATCTCGAAGTGGGGTCTTCTGCGGGAGTGGTGGGGCCAATTGGTGCAGAGGGACTTTCTTTGGCGGCATCTAAATCACAAATTTAATTCAAAAGTTAAAAATAAGGGGAAGAAAGAAGAACATGATAAACCGTGCGCTTTATGAATGAGCGACAATTTTTGAAAAGGCGCCCAACAAAGGTACGGTAGAAAGAGCGTGCTAAAAATTTTGCAGTAAACAATTCGCCAATCATTAGATACTTTACTAAAGTTTAAAGTTATTCGATGAAACAACTGAGCATTTTCCGTATATTTATTTGCTCCCAATTATACATTTCGAGTGTCCCCCTCAAAGTGTCCCCTTTTTGTCCCCCTAAAGTGTCCCCCCCTAGTATTCCCCCTAAATTTTTCCGTTTAAGATGTTTCGAGTTCGATGCATTTGCTGATCATTGAGTTTAAAAAGTTAAAGCACATTTGGAGAGCAAAAAGTTGTGATTTGATATGAAAAAAAATAGGGGGATACTAGGGGGGGACACTTTAGGGGGACAAAAAGGGGACACTTTGAGGGGGACATTTAGGGGGGCAAAAGGGGGACACAGGGGGGGGGGGGACACTCGAAATGTATACTCCCAATTTGGCAGTCCCAAAAACTTTTCATGGTTTTTGTTCTTCGCTCTGTATTGTTGTTTTTTAATCTTTTCATTCGTTTTTGCTCCAAAACTTGAAATCTTCTTAATATTCTTATTTTCAGGATCTATGGAATTGGACACGAGGTTCCCAGAGTTGCCGAAAACCGTTCGGATCAATCAAGACTTGAAAAGAGGCCAATTTCTTGAGGTAAGGGGTTTATGCTTGTTCTACTTATCAAAGTTAAAAACTTGAAGAAAATCTTCGATAGTGTAAGAGGTAGCCTAAAGTTCGATATAATTAGGGGGTTTTTAAACTTTTAATTTTTAGGCCTTGTCTGATATTCCGCCCGGTGTGATCGTCTGCTGTGAACGTGGTCTTAGCATCACTCTTTCGCCAACAAGATGCCGATTTTGTGCAAGCAAAGAGATTTTGCTGAAGTTGGTTTGAAATTCAGCACTCGTTAGCGTTAAATTTGCTTGTTGTCGTTGTCATGTTTATCTTTTTGTTTGTAGTTCCTCTACTTGTCAACAATGCGAGTCTTCGACAAATTGTGCCTCGATTACCCGAATTCAAGATGGATTACAAGAGAGACTACAAAAATTCGGCTTTCTGGAATTGGCTCTTCGCATCGTTTTGTCTCATTCGGCTGAAGAAATCACAGAAGTCATACAAAAGTTTTCTTCAAGGAAAAGTGAGTCGCTTAGTTTCAAACAAACCTAGTTCGCTTTTAGAGTTTCCAATCACCAGCTCCAACAAGAGACGTTTCGAACTCGTGGCAAATCTACAGGGAAACAAAGCAGCCCCTATCGACAGTATTGGAGTTGACAATTTATTGGACGAGCTTGTTGATCGTTTAGAACAGGTTACTTTTGAATTGTAGCTAGTTTAAAGTAACACAAATGTGTAATCTGAAAGCATAATTGAATCTCAAGACCAGATGCTCATATCAAACTCATTTATTGTAGTGTGATTCTCCTTGGATCTCCATGCCGGACTACAGAAAACGATTCAAAGAAGCTATTCGGTTTGTGATGGAGCGTCTTCCCGACAATGCGCATTCAATATTCGATGTCGACCAAATTGCGCAGGTAAAATTTGCAGGCAAAATCTATATTTTTATGTTCGAATTAGATTCACGATATGCATGCATTCGCTGAAGAATCTTCATGGATACTCCACCGAGAAGTCACACGGTAATAGTGCTAGCTTAAATTTAGAGATACTCAGTTATTGAGTAATTAATGTATGAACTTTAAGCTTGAACTTTAGTGCATTGGAAGGCCAGTCTGCTTCTCATCGCGTTCATTCATCACAACAACCCATTGCTCTTGGTCTCTTCCCAATTTCTTCGCTCATCAACCACTCTTGTCATCCAAATACTTATAGTTAGTTCGTGAATTTTTAACTTCTTTTAAATATTTGTTTTAGCACGAATGGAAATATGATGATTTATCGCTCTCGTGGCATTCGGAAAGGCGACGAGATCACCGATAGTTATGGGCCGAACATTTGGAATCATACGCTAGAGGAGAGAAGGGTTTGATAAAATTTGAAAAACTACGCTAATGAGTATATTCCAAACCAATGCATAGAACTCATAAATTGAAATGTGCCGTTCTAACTGTAGAATTGTTATATGGTATGTCATGACGACGTACGTTTAAAAGAACACCAATAAAAAGAAGTCTGCTTTATTTGGGTACAGTTTATGTTCACTCTAACGTTGAACTTTAATTGATTGGCGGGACGATCGGTATTTCTACACTTTATCGCGCAGTGGCCTAAAAAGGAAATAGATTGCACGACAAATAATTCAAATTTCAAACTAAAAGTATTCACCGTGCTTTTGGCAAGAAGGCCGCCCACATAGCCCGATCGACGATGATTTGGCCTAAAATAATCAATTCATTAAATGGTAACTTCAGAATATCAGTTAGCACAAAATGGGGAACAACCAGCCGACGGGCGGATCGCCGTAGTAATGACCGTCTTTTTTCGAGACCTCGTCGACGGTCGACATTGGTCTTGAGATCGGCCTAAAATGAAAAGATTTACAAGACACTAACAAAACCAAAAAGTAATTTAAGGCAAAAGCTTACCTCATTCGAGCAGTACATCTTCACTTTCTTTAGCGTCGGCATCAGGGCCATCACATAATCGTCTTGTGTAGGGCTAAAGAATAAATGATAACGAATAGCCAACACAAGTTCTTGTAAAAATTAAAAATTAAATTAATTATTAAGAAAGAAGTAAAAAATCGCTAAAAAACTCACGAGGTCCGGCTTATACTTGCTTTTACCAGATCCCATCGCGAAAAACATGAAATGAATGAGACGTTTGTGGTCTTTTATTGCACGGTTAAATGCAAAATAATGGCTTTGTAATAATATCCAAATTTCTATAGCATTTTAATCCGTTGTACTTTAGGTTCACACCGCTCGTCGTGGCTTCGATTGTTGGTGTTCGGCGTGTGAGAACTCGATTTGCCTACAAAACGTTCTTGAGGGAACAACCGATGGAGATTATTTGGTGAGTTTGGTTTAGTTTGACGATGTAAGTGTGAAATTCTAGACAGATGAGGAATGCCTTCTGGACGCTGATCAACTCGAGCCCGATTTCGACACGTTGATACGGAAATTTCGACGCATTTCCCAGGTTAATAGTGGGGCTAATGTATTTAAATTGGCTCGACATGAAAACAAATGAATAAATTTAACTTTTCAGCGATGTACTCCAGGGAATCAAGAGTTGGATCGTTTTGCCCATTTCATCGTCGCAATGGGTGTTAGAAAAGGTAACTCTTAAAGTTTGTTTTTTAGTTCTGAGCTAAATTGCAATTTTTAGGTGATCTTGATCTTTCGTCTGAAGCTCTCAAAATTTTGTGGAAGTCGCTGGAAGCGAGAAATTTGTTGCTCTGCCCGGAAAGAGGATTCGTCGCCCATGCGCAAGCACTCATTCTCAAAGAGAAATGGGAGAGGTGATGCTTTTATCGCTACAAAAATTTCTTTATACACTTTGTGTAAACTGGTTTTTAGATCAAAGGACGAAGCCGTTTTGCAACAATGTCAGAAGTCCTTTTTCTCAGCTCTCGTCGCTTATCGAACTTTTTTTGGATGTGATGGACTCTTCGCAAAAGAGTTAACGGATTCTTTTACAGGAATTTTTGTTTAGGATTTTCTAATCTATTTAAAGTTTTCTTGTTTTGAAGCTATGATTTTTGTATAAATCTTTTCATGAGAGCTGATGATTGAAATTCGATTTCAAACGCCGGTTTCTGCTTTAAGCGCTCTTTTTTGTGTGTTTTTAGCAAAGGATCCTTTCAAGAGTGTCAGACCCCTAAAATCTAAGCATCCCATAAAATGAAGAGCCCTCTCACACATACAAATACACACACAAAAATGACGGTCCCTTTTGTCGTCATCCATTCATCAAATATGGGAGAAAAGACACATAGCAAAAAGGAGGAAAGAGAAGAATCAATGTGTGTTTGAGCACGTTTTGGGTAGCTATCGAATGGCCAGCGGGGACTGAACCGTTTGACTTGTTCGCCGAAACACGTTACTGTTTTGTTTTGATGCTCGTTATTCAATATATAGAACGTACCCAGCTATTCCTACACAACTGAACGATGTCGCCTGGACCCTGTTTCACTCTTCTAATGCGTTTTTTAAAACGTGGCAACTTTCTCTTTCTACCATAATATTGTCTCTATTTTTTTTCAAATATATCAACTTTTATTTGATTCTGTGAGAACTCGTCAAGGATACCAAAAGATACAAAAAAGTAGACAGATTGGATAAATTAGACGCAAGATTACGGTAGAAAGAGAAAAGGAACACGTTTTAGAAAAAGCTTTGGTCGAAAGAGACACCGAAAAAAATCTATTTTGGTATTCAAACCATTCTACTTGAATCCACACAAAAATCTCCAGCTTTCATTTTCCAAAAATCTTCCAGTTTTTATTAAATTTTGTCTGTCAAAAACGTGCCGGAAAATATTAAATTTTTTTGATCAAAAACACATTATTAAATTCGCCGAGCAAACGCTATTCAATGAGAAAACTTTCGCGATTCATTTTGATTTTGAATGTTTATTGAGACCGAAATTTTTCTATTCTGATGCTGTTTTTGCTGGTGCACCGTTTTGCCTTGTTGAAAAAACCGATTTTCAATTTTTTTGAGCTTCGCCAATATGTGAAGATCTTGAAACGAGGGTTCAGTCCAAAAATTTTTCTTAACCATTTCAAAAAAGAATAAAAAAAATATCCATTTCAAACCATTCCAAATTTCTACGCGTGCATCATTTGGTTCACCAAATTCCCAGAAAAAGATCGAATCTTCAAAAGATCTCCTGGAAAATCGAGAAAAAGGAGCGTTTCGGAAAGGCTGAATGAGCTGATCTTTTCGAGAGATCGAAAGGAAAGACCCGAAAAACGGGATTGGGGAAATGAAGGGAATAAGGTGAGTTTTGAAGTGAGTGAACAAGATTGACTCAAAGACTAAACGGGGAGGTCCAATCGGTGGCACAGATCTCTTTTGGATCCACTCCCATTGTGAGGATCAGTCAAATTTCCGAAAAGAAAGACCGAAATTTTGGAGCCAAGCCACCATCCAATTTTCTTGCTTCAATGAAATCAACGATTTTTGGTCGTCAGCTTTGTTTCTTTGATCCTTATCCTTGTGATGTGAAAGTACTGTATTTTATTTGATATATTAGCTATAGTACCCATGTATAGCTACAGTATTTAATGCTTTTTAGGTATTTACGATTAGCTACAGTATCCTTGTCTTTACACTGTTACTACAGTATCATTGTAGCATCCAGTTACAATACTCTTTTAGCTACAGTACCCCTCTACAGTCCGCGTTCATTAACAATATAGTCTTGTAGCGTTCATTAGTTACAGTATCCTTGTAGTTGCAAACACACAGGAGCTACCACCCAGGCTTATCAATTGGTAAAATGTTTTCCACCGTCCAGTTTTCCTTTTTCAGAACCATTTAGTCCCTCTTCAAATTGAATTAAAGAAACTCTTGAATGAACACAAACCAGGCAATTCCTTGCAAGTTCTAACAATTCTCATTCCAATCAAAAAAATCTTCTCTCTCATCTTTCAAAATGCATAAATCGAAGCCCTCTTTTCATTAATTGTTCTCGATTTTGTCTCCTCTTTTCCCCTCATTGGGTCAAGGTGTTCCCCGATCTTTTTTATTTTCTCGAAAAAGTTCGTGGAAGAGAAAAGAAAAGACACCTAGAGTCAAAAGATGTCAACAGTGAGAATACAAGAGAAAAAGGGGAAACTCGAGAAGAGCTGTGGGGTAGAAATGACGAGTTTCAAAGTTTGCAACTACTTGCCTTAGCTTTGGTATGTTAATTCTCTTTTTTTTCACGGACAACTTACAGAACCCAATTAGATTCCAAAGAATTCAAAAGGCTCCCAGAGCTATTTTTTTTTGCCCTTTTATTGTACCTCATTTCTAAATCTGTATTTGATTTCAGTACGTTCAATTACCCAAGAATATACTTACTCAAGATTGCAGGAATTACTGTCAAAGATAACAATTTTTAGACTAAAGAAACCTTTGAGTTTGGAGGTAGATAACAATAAGAACTAACCATAATGAATTGAAAGCGTGGGCGAAAACTTTGAGACGGGACAATTTTAAAAACATCGTCTTTCAAGCTTAAGACTTCAGTGGAATGGCTTTCATTTTAATTGTCGCTAGGTTTCAAAGGTTGCTATTGCAAAATGGTTATTAAATTTTTTGAGAAAAAAAACTTAGAAAAATTTATTAGACTTGATAACACTGAAACAAACCTTAATAATTTGAAACTCGAACATTTAGAAAGTTGAGTTTTGAGCTAAATGGTTCTAATGAAATGCGTTCAAGACTAATCTGTGTTTAATGAGGTTTTTGAAAAATATTACAGAGTACGAAATATTGTTTTTTGTATCCTTTTTGTCTGAAAGGAGTTTTTTTCCTCCATTTACCTTATTATGCTTCAAACTTGGGGTCAAAACATGCTGTTCGATCAAATAATATGCTGAAAAGCACAACTAAATCGAGAATTTGCATAACCCGGTTGTTTGCCGATTTTGTTTTCCAATACGAGTCATTTGAGTCAACTTTAACAAAATATTTGCCTAGCCTACAAGATTCCCCATTTTTTTTCCTTTTAAAAGTCACCCAAAAGCTTTTTTCTTTAGTAAAAGATTCACCCCAACTAATCGTTCTTTTTTGTATTCTTCTTGAAGAAAAGATCACCCGCTTCATTTCTTTTTCGCGAAGAAAGTTCTCCCATTGAATGCCAAATACAAATTCGAGTCTTCTTCATGATTTTACGATAAACATCCATTAACTCAACTCAAAGTTGTTTAACCAATGCAGTTGTTTAAATTGGAACTGCTTTTTTTTTACAAAGCCTCTTTTTTTTTGTTCAGCCGTTTGCAAAATGATTAAACTTTTTTCTATGATCGTTTCAACCGCAGTTTTCCAGTCATTTCATTGAAATTTCCAGTCAACTTGACAAATAAATTGATGTCAAGCATATATTTACTATTGTGATTGTACCCGAAATTCTACGAAAGTTGAAACTTGTATACCTTTGGCTTGACAATTACCCGTGATCCCAAGTAGGCTGAAACTTTATTTTCACATTGAATCCACCTTCCAATCTTCTACTTTTCCATTTTAACGTCAAAGAACATGCCAGTAATGACTAATTTTAAATTTGCCAACCGAAAAAAAGGACGCACTAGTCTTTCGATTTTATTTGCGACTTTGCTGGAGTTGAAACTTTGCTTCCACAATGACTTCAAAAAGGAATCTCGTACCTTTTCCCCTTTGCAGATTTCCTCTCCAGACTCCCTTTTTCTTCACCGAATCCAAAATCAGAATCAAAAATCGATTTTTCCCATCTCCGAAATGTCGCTTTTTTCGCATCCATCAGACATAGATTTCTCGCATCAGACACATCGTTTGCCCGTTTTCTCGCAACCGTTTTCGAATTTCTTTGCATTTTCCCTTTTGCCCACTTATGAATACAATTTTTTCTTTAGAGTTGCTTGGAAAAAAGTCTCTTTTGATCACTTTTCGAAAATCTTTCAAATGTGCGAATACTTTTGATGAAAAATGTTTGGTTTCACTTTTTTTCTGCTTGTAATTGATCTATTTTCGTTTATAGTCACAAGTTTTTTTTGCCAGAATTTAAAAAGTTTCAAGAGGTTAGCACAATACTTTTTGGATAGATTGATATTAAATATGCAAAATAAATGCCAAAGTAATCTAAATCAGCATCAAAAATTGAACTTGCTACTAATCTCCCAATATCACATCCGGCAGTGTTGGGGGCTGAAACATCAATGTAAAACTCGTTAGGTTTTAACGAAGCTTTTTCGTCAGATTGTCGTAAATTTGTAGCATCTGGTTCAAAAAATCTTTTGTCTCAATGCACCAGATGCACTAAGTTTACGTTACCAATTAAGTATGTCTCAATTAGCTGGCCTGGTCAGCTTTTTTTATTGAATGAGCTCATAAACCCAAGGCTGAGCCCTTAGTCTAGCCTAGTTTACAGCTTAAACTCTAGTCCGACTATTGTGGCTCTATTGGTCTCCCTTTTCAGTATTCGGCGGAGAAATTCGGTGCACCAGAAGCTGAGCGTTTACCTATCAATTTTGCCTTATTCCTCTAGCCTATTCAGTTTTTTTCACATCAGAAAAACTGATATCTATGTGTGAAACCATTAAAACTCCGGCCATTGCTCCAAATTTACGCTAAATTCCAAATTTCCCTACCAAATTCCCGTTTGCGAAAAGAAAGAGTAATGATTTCACTTAAAAAGATGACTGTATAAAGGAATTCAGTCATTCAGGGCGAATACATTGAGAAAAAGAAAGAAAAGAAAAGTGTTATCAAGAACTTTTCGTCTCTTTTCCTTTTTCATTTCTGTTCTCACCGAGGGTGAGTTCATCTAACGGGAAAAATGAATAGGTGTGGCTAAAGAGTGTTTTTCGGGGCGTCACCCAGCTTTTGATTTGTAAAAGTTATGTCTGATCAAAAGGAAAAACTAAAAAAATGATGTCACAGCCAGTAAAAGATGAAACCATCCGGTACTTACCGTACAAAAACAGGTACTAAATAAGTTTTTATGCAAATTTTGATACTTGT